TTGCTTGTTGCGGAACAAAATAGTGATCTTTTGTTGAAAAATCATAATCTTAGACCAACTGGTCTTTGGCCACTTATCATGAGGCAAATGCAAGAAGTTCTTATCCACCCGAGGCAAATACTACACAAAGAGGTGGACGTGGAAATTACAATGGTCGTAGAAGAGGCCGTGGACATTATTGCGGACGAGGCCGAGGACATGGTAGAAATAATTATCAAAGAAACAATAATTTCAAAAATTCTGAAAAACAGAAGGGACAATCATTTGGAAGCCACAAACAAACTCCTTCAAAAGGAAAAGACACATGTTACAGATGTGGCATGACAGGGCATTGGGGATGTACTTGTTGTACGGCCAAACATTTGGTAGACCTTTACCAGGCTTCTATAAAAGGTAAAGAGAAAAATGCAAGAGCAAATTATGTTAATGAAGAAAATGCTCCATGCCCTACCCTTGATGTGTCCGATTTTTCATGGACAATGCTGAAATTGGAAATGATTTCATCTTTGGAGAAAATAACAATGCTTAGATAACCTATCTACTAATGTGATATATACTATGTTTTACTGTATTTTCTGTTATGTACTGTATTTTAAATGTCTAGTCATGTATTTTTAATTTCTATCATCAATAAAAGTTTGTATGATATTATTCTAAACTAATCTCATTTTATGAAGATATGGATATGCCTGAAGTTGGTTCCTAATATCAGTGCCTTTTGGACAGTGGAACAACACACACTATCTTGAAGAATAGAAAATATTTTTCACAACTAAAGTTGTTTCAGGCAAATGTAAACACTATTTCCATGTGAGCAAAATTAATTTAAGGATCTAGAAAGGCTTGTATAATGCTTCCAAATGGAACAAAATTGATAATCAATAATCGAAGAAATCTCATAAGCCTTAAAGATGTACGCCAAAACGGCTATCATTTAGAAACAATGACAACAGGTCAAAAGGAGTATTTATTATATGCCTCACGGCAGGAAAATATGGCAAGAAACACATTTATGAGAAATTGCCTGCATATTCTTCGGGGTTATATCGTATAAACATACGACTTGTGGAAATCAATATGATATCTAACCAGAAGTTAGATGACAAACATTTGATTATTTTATGGCATGATCGTTTGGCACATCCAGCAACTGGGATGATGCAAAGAATAATAGCAAATTCAATTGGACATTCAATAAGAAATGTCGAAATTCCTCAATCGGATGAATTAACATGCTCTGCATGTTCACTTGGCAAATTAATAATAAGGCCATCCATGAACAAAATTGCTACTGAAACCCCAAAATTCTTGGAAAGAATCTAGGGAGATATTTATGGGCTAATTAATCCGCCATGTGGACCATTTCGATATTTCATGGTTTTAATTGATGCTTCTACACGATGGTCACATGTCAGTCTGCTTTCAAGTAGAAATGTTGCCCTTGCAAAATTACTTGCCCAAATTTTCAAATTAAGAGCACAATTCCTAGATCATACAATAAAGAAAATAAGACTCGGCAATGCTAGGGAATTTACATTCCAAACATTTAATGATTATTGTATGTCAATTGGAATTGATGTTGAACACCCAGTAGCTCATGTTCATACACAAAATGGTCTAGCTGAATCACTGATTAAGAGATTACAATTGATTGCAAGACCATTATTAATGAGGTCAAAATTGCCATCATCTGCTTGGGGACATGCTATAATACATGCATCAGCACTAATTAGATTGAGACCTACAGCTTATCATAAATTCTCACCACTACAACTTGTTTGTGGTCAAGAACCAAGTAACTCACATCTAAAAATCTTTGGTTGTGCTGTATATGTTCCCATTGCTCCACCCCAACGAACAAAAATGGGTCCAGAAAAAAGGATGGGAACTTCTGTAGGGTTTGAATCCCCCTCTATAATTAAATATCTTGAACCATTGACTGGTGACTTATTTACGGCTAGATTTGCCGATTGTCACTTTAATGAAGCATTATTCCCAGCCTTAGGGGGAGGGAAAGTGGACCCACGCAAGAAAGTAATAGAACATATTTGGAATGCAACGCAACTGTTGATGTTAGACCCACGAACAAATATGTGTGAACAAGAAGTCAAGAAAATTTTTCGTTTACAAAGTGTTGCAAATCAATTGCCTGATGCATTTGTAGACACAAAGAAGGTGACAAAATCACATATATTAGCAATAAATGCCCCTGCATGTATTGAAATCCCAACTGATAATAAGGCCATTGAGAATGAATCTCAAGCACGTAGAAAGCGTGGGAGACCACTTGGTTCAAAAGATTCTAAACCAAGAAAATTGAAAAGATTGGATGGAATAGAAAATGAGACTAATGATGTTCCCCCGTCAGAAGGTCAAGATAGACCACATGTGGATGAAAGTAAAGAAAATTATGATAATCCAAAAGGGGACGAACAAGAAGACAACCCTACGGGGAATGAACAAGATGTTCAAAACATCGATAATAATGAAATTTCAATGAATTACGTCTCTACCAAGACTCACTGGAATAAGAAAGATGTTATCGTGGATGAAATATTTGCAAATTCTATCGCAATCGACATTGTGTCTGATGAAAATGATGTTGAACCAAGAACAGTGGAAGAATGTCGACATAGGAGTGATTGGCCAAAGTGGAAGGAGGCAATGCTAGCTGAGTTGAAGTCACTTGAAAAATGAGAAGTTTTCGGAAAAATAAATCTTACACCAGCAGGTGTAAAACCCGTTGGATACAAATGGGTATTTGTGAGAAAACGTAATGAGAAAAATGAGATAGTTAGATACAAGGCAAGACTTGTAGCCCAAGGATTTTCTCAAATTCCAGGGATTGATTATGAAGAAACATATTCTCCAGTAATTGATGCAACTACATTAAGATTTCTGGTAAGTTTGACAGTCACAAAAGGACTGTAAATGCGATCAATGGATGTAGTGACTGCGTATTTGTATGGATCACTCGATAAAAACATTTACATGAAAGTCCCCGAAGGACTAAAACTACCAGAAAACCACAAGCCTGGATAATTACTTTCCATAAAACAAAAAAAGGTCACTTTATGGATTGAAACAATCTGGAAGGATGTGGTATAACCGTCTTAGTGAATACCTTATGAGAGAAGGGTTCAAGAACAACCAAATTAGTCCTTGTGTTTTCATAAAGCGATCACAATTAGAGTTCGCTATTATTGCAGTTTATGTTAATGATTTGAATATCATCGGAACTCCAAACAAACTTGAGAAAACTGCAAAATGCTTGATGAAAGGATTTGAGATGAAAGACCTTGGAAAAACTAAATTTTGCCTTGGATTGCAAATTGATCACTTGAGTCATGGTATTTTTGTCCATCAATCAAACTATACAGAAAGAGTTTTGAAAAGATTCTTCATGAACAAAGCAACTCCAATCAACTTCCCAATGGTTGTTTGTTCTTTGAGTATGAAAAACGATCCATTCAAACCATGAGAAAAAAATGAAAAGATTCAGGGTCCAGAAGTACCATACTTAAGTGCAATTGGAGCCTTAATGTACTTAGCTAACAACACTAGACCCGACATAGCTTTCTTTGTGAACTTGTTAGTCAGGCACTTCAATGCACCAACATATAGGCATTGGAAGGGAGTCTGACACTTACTCCGGTACCTACGAGGAATACAAGACCTTGGTTTATATTATCAACCAAAACAAGATGCTGTCCTCATTGGGTATGCCGACGCTGGATATTTATCGGATCCTCAAAATGCCAAGTCACAAAATGGATATCTGTTCACTTATGGCGGCACTGCAATATCATGGAAATCAACAAAGCAAACATTGACTGCGACATCCTCAAATCATGCAAAGTTGATTTATGAAGCAGGACGAGAATGTGTATGGTTGAGGTTGATGATTAGTAATATCCAAGGAGAGTGTGGAATGAAAGCAATAACAGAAAATCCAACCACCATCTTTGAAGATAATACAACATGCATCTCTCAAGTAACTGAAGGATATATTAAGGGAGATAGAACAAAACATATGTCCCCAAAACTATTCTTCACACATGATCTGCAAAAGGATGAGGAAATAGATATCAAGCAAATTCAGTCTTGTGACAACCTTGCCAACCTGTTCACCAAATCACTTCCTTCCAAGAAATTTGAGCAATTAGTTCACAAAATTGAAATACGACATTTTCATGAATTATACTGAAATCAGGGGGAGTATTATATGCACTGCACTCTTTTTCCCTTTGATCAGGTTTTTATCCCACTGGGTTTTTCCTGACAAGGTTTTTAACGAGACAGTATATCAAAGCATATAATACTTTTAGCTATGGTTTTATCCCGTAAGGTTTTACCTGACAAGTTTCACAAGACAACCCATACTCCATTTTATGTGAACCTTCAAGGGGGAGTGTTGAAGATAAATACAAAATGAAGTTCACATGAACTTCTCTAGTACAATAATTAGTAGCAAACTTAGCATAATAAATCTTATAATAGTACAATTGTGCAAATAATTGTATGACAATATTTTGCCTATAAAAAAGTTCACCATTGTGAATTATAGTGAATGCAATAAAAATTTAACCGTAACAATATTTTTCTACTTGTTCATTGCTCTATCATTCCTTTAAAAGAATTTAGAATTGTGCCAAACTTTTCAAAAAATTAATTTTTTCCTTTTCATCCTTTTTTGGCTTTTTATCAAAGTGGCACATACCCCTTTAACTCCCCCAAATTCCAATAATACCCCTAACCATCCTACAAAACCATCTAAAAAAATTTAAAAATACAAGCCCCATTTTGGTAATTTCGCAAGTCAAAAAATATAAGTACACCACTCAGCAACAGACTGTGAGTATGGAGTGGACCCCACACAAATAGTTTGTACAGTACTGATTGAGGAGAGAGAAAATTGGTATAAGGGTAAAATAGTCATTTCATAAAACCCATGTTTTATTTTTAATTATTTTTTTTTACCTCAACGACTCACTCTATTTGGTTTTACTGCATGTACAACCAAAAGCTTAAACCCCCATTTCTCTCTCCTCCTTCGTCTTCACTCTCTCTCCTCCGAAATTCGCTTCCGAAATTCGTGAATTTGGGGGTTTTTTGGGGGTAATTTTAGGGTTTTACACTCTCATTTCGCTAAATTAATTTGTTCTTGAACACGGATAATCAGCACTGTGTTCTGATTTTGGTAAGTCTTTTAATATGTTCAATAATTCTTTTTAATTTTTGGTGTTTGATTTATTTACTCATTTTAGTGTTACATTTTGGGTTTTTCATGTGGAATTTCTCAGTGGTGTGGGATCATCTGCGCTTGTTTGTGTTTTACTGTAATTTATGTTTTTGATTGTGATTTTGCATGTGTATTTATATTCAATTTCTAGTATATTTTGTTGGGAAATTTGTACAAACAATGTTGTCTTGATTTTGCTTTTTTGGGTTGAAAATTTTCGTATTTTTATGTGATTTTAGAAAAAAATGTTCTATTTTTGTTTTGTTCTTTTCTGGAAAAGTTGATTGAAATGCTTTAATGGCGAAGTTAAAGAGCCACTGCACCGTGGTTGGAAATTTTAAATGGGATTTTTTTTTCTTTTTTCATTGGGTCTTTGTGTGCCCTTTTGGTAAAAATTTGGCAATTTGTTAGTATGGAGGAATAGTAGTTTTACATGGAGATAAATGTGGGTTGCCCTAGTTATTTGTTTCTTGTGATTTATCTTTTTAGCGCTTGGTCTTGAGTAAAATAATGGTCAATATGTCCGTTTTCGTGAGTATTTGTGGCGAAGCGGAGCTGGAGCTAAGAGATTGATTTGTTGATAGTCTCATTATTGGTTTTGTTTCCTAAGATGGGAGATTTTGTTTTCTTGGGCTATCTGTTGACTGGTTGAAATAATCCTGGCTGTAGAAATCACCTTGTCTTGTACGAACTAGTATTTTGGGCTTTGGATGAGGTGATACTGTGTTACTGTGTATGTCACTTTGACCCAGCTTGAAGTATTAGACAAGACCATTTCATGAAATTTTGTATGATCTTAGTCCGAAATGAAGTCCTCTAATGGCATATTCTCTTACCCATGTTGAGTATTCGGCATGGCCACATGAGGGCAATGAAGAGTCATGAGTAACTTAGGTTACACCAATGTGTCTTGTTTTTGGAATAATCCATTCTCCGAGGAGGTTCTTCATACATCAATCGTTAAATTTAATTAGAAGTGTGTAATTTTGTCAAATGAACATGGTTTTTGGATCAAGGACACCCTGCTCTTTTTTTTTTTTATTTTTTTTTTTATTTTTTATGACTGGTTGAAATAATCCTGGCTGTAGAAATCACCTTGTCTTGTACGAACTAGTATTTTGGGCTTTGGATGAGGTGATACTGTGTATGTCACTTTGACCCAGCTTGAAGTATTAGACAAGACCATTTCATGAAATTTTGTATGATCTTAGTCCGAATTGAAGTCCTTTGCATATTCTCTTACCCATGTTGAGTATTCGGCATGGCCACATGAGGGCAATGAAGAGTCATGAGTAACTTAGGTTACACCAATGTGTCTTGTTTTTGGATTAATCCATTCTCCGAGGAGGTTCTTCATACATCAATCGTTAATTTAATTAGAAGTGTGTAATTTTGTCAAATGAACATGGTTTTTGGATCAAGGACACCTTGCTCTTTTTTCTTTTTTTATTTTTTTTATTTTTTTTATTTATTTTTCATTTTTTATTGTTTTGTGAGAACTGAAAAAAGGTCACATAGTTTAGGAATACCTTGTTTTCAAAGATGCTGTTAAACTGTTATGATATAATCACATGTGCTCACTCATTATTGTATACGTCGATGTTCTTCCACAGGAGTGCCTTTCTCTTGTATGCCACCATAAGTTGAATCAAATTTCTTGTTCTTTCAAAAATGGAGGAAAGTGAGGCTTCAACTGTTCCTGATGGGGAGTTGATTGGAATTAAGTTCGGCCTTGCAAGCGATCATGAAATTGTGAGTAGGCAGCTCAATTTTTCTGTCACATGCTTTATGTGTGTCATGATATTGCAATGCTGCTAGTTAGTTTGGTCGGTTTGTATACTTCGTATATATTTTTCTTTATCAATGTCTTGTATCTATTTTCATTGCTCTCTGGTGGTTTTATAAAGTACTATCGTTGCTCTGTATTAGCTTCTTAGTTTGGGCATATCCTGCTGTCTAGCTTCATTTAGGTTGTGATTTGTAAAATGGAAATCTTTTTTAGTTTCCTGCTGAAATCAAGCCTCTACAAAAGCAAATGTACAACCTAGTGCCGAAAAAGGGAGTCCTTTCTTTTGAAGCGTAAAGAGTGTAATATATTTGGTTAATTGGCATGGAAGTGTACTTATATCCGCACATTATATGATTTGTATATGGTGGTTGTGCAAGAGATGGACAACTACAGTTTCTTGTTTTTCTGGTTATAATCTGCTACACATCAAAATTTTTGTTTTTTCTTGTGTACTAATGGACTAATGGTACAAGTATATTAACTATGGATCCAATCATATATCTGTCTTCTATTAAATAAAGATACTTGTAGGTTGTTGAAATTAAATGAAGCTTAATTTCAAGGTGAAGACTAAGAGGTGCTTGATATTTTATGAGTTATTCCAATGAGGGAGAGGGGGCAATGTCTGGGGTCACCTAGTAGATATTTAATAATGCGAAAATTTCCACTAACCGACTAATCGTATGCTTTTCTCTCCCTTCCACCCCCTGTTGAATATTTTAGAGAGTAGTACTCCCTTTGTCCTCCAATACACATAATAAGGGAATTAGAAGGGTGAGTAGATGTTTTGGTGGATATGGGGTCTAAGAATAAATAAACTGATTAAAAGATAGTTAGTGGGTAAAAGGACCTACATGACGTTGAGTTTGAGAAAGAAGTTAGTGAAGGTGCCAACATCGCATAAATGGGTTAAATTTTCATATTAAGTAACAATAAGATTATTTGTGGACATCCTCACACCCCATAAAGAAAAGATAATTTGTGACATAGGGAGTATGATTTTCACTTCAAGCAAGAAAGAAAAATGATGCTACTACTATAGTATGGAGAGTGACACTTTACAACTTTTTTTGTATGTGTTCTTTCTCACTTGTTTGTCCCAACCAATTTATGTTGAATTGCTGTTATATTATGACGTGTGCAGTGCTCCAATTCCTCCCTCCCTCATCATCATGTCCTATTTCAGCCATCCTGTTTGATGGTGGCTGTTGCTTCTCCCATGTTTCTCTGATTATGACTTGGCTAATAATTTCAGTTCATATATTCTTCTTTGCTTCTGAATATTTATGAGTTAGTTATATTATTCTTTAAGAGGGTCTCAGATGCCTTGGAGTTTTTTAAAAATGCTAGTTGCAGCTAATCTCCGGAAGATGGTATTTAATTTCTTTGAAGGATGACACATTGTTGCCCAAATCTATATGTAGTTGATCTATTATATGTTATGCATAATGAGGTTTTTCCCCCCCTTCACCTTGCAGCGAACGTCTTCCATCAGCGATTGTCCAATTAGTCATGCTAGTCAGTTGGCAAATCCTTTTCTTGGCTTACCTTTGGAAATGGGTAAATGCGAGTCTTGTGGTACTGCAGAACCCGGAAAGTGTGAAGGTAAAACATATCCTCTTTTGTTAAAATAAAAATTTGATGGAAGTAGGAGAAAAATTGTTTATTTAATGTCTCTTATCTTGTATAACTGAATAGTGGTTACTTGAAGGCATGCTGCTGTGAATGACCTTGCCCGGCTATCAATATTTAGGGCGACTGATATGCTCTCCTGAAGGTTTTTTTTTTTTTTTTTTTTTTTTTTTTTTTTTTTTTGAGGGAAACGAGTTAGTAAGCTTATTATTGCAAATCAAGCTCCGGCTATCAATATTTAGGGCGACTGATATGCTCTCCTGAAGGGTTTTTTTTTTTTTTTTTTGAGGGAAACGAGTTAGTAAGCTTATTATTGCAAATCAAGCTCCGCCAAAGTCATGGGGGAAAGAGTTCATACATACTAGTTCGGAACTATCATCGGTATCCCATCTTGCTACTAGATGGGCTACCGAATTGCCTACTCGTTTAACATGAGAAATAACAAAAACATCAAAATCAGTAGCCAACATACTAACTATAATATATACTTTATAAAGCTAAATCATAGCAACTTGAAAGGCACCTGTAGCATAAAAAACACTTTTTTGTTTTATAACAGCATTGAAGTCTTAAAGATCCTCTTTGTAATCATTTTATTAACTTACTAGTGTAATTATGGCCAAGCTTTTGTAACCTATAACGTCCTTCCCACTTTAGCCTTGAATTGAAATACTCCCTATGTTTTTTTTAAGTGCATCACTTCTCTAAATCGGCCATTTTTTTTAGTGCATCACTTATTATTTTGGACATCTTGTCTTATTTAATTATTATTTTAAAAATTTATTTTCTCCGCTCATATCCTTTAGTTTTTACCCTACTACTTTTCTATAATTTTTAATTCTCCAACAAACCCCACCGACAAATCTATCTGCCGGTGAGTAATGGGTTTACTAATGCCTATTAAGGATTCATCATTTCAGTCATCAAGATTTGTCTTAGAAGTTAGAATGTTTACTTCTTCACTAAATTACTATATTCTATTTTTACCTCATTGTTCACCTTGCCCTCTTTTATACTATACTTGATTTTTCTTTGTGGTTAAAACAAAAACGAAGGAAGATGAGCAAAATGCGGTGGCTGATTTCCCTTCTTTTAAATCAGTTTAGCTACATCAGTATCCTATCTGGTTTGGTTTTTCATTGTCTGTCACATCTCGAAGATATAAGGTGGTTACTTATTATCAATACTTTATTTTCAGGTCACTTCGGCTATATTGAGTTGCCAATACCTATCTACCACCCATCTCATGTCAGCGAATTAAAACGTCTGTTGAGCTTAGTGTGCCTCAAGTGTTTAAAGATGAAGTCAAATAAGGTATGAAGGTTTTTTTTTTTTTTTTTTTTTTTTTTTTTTTTTTTTTTTTTTTGTGAAGAAAAGGTATGAAGTTGAAATAATTGAAGCAAATGTTTTGTAGATCAGTGGTGTTGCAAAAGTAATTTTATTCTGATAAATAATGCTGGACACTGCTGGAGTAATGATTATAATATCGTTAATGACATAACTCATCACTGTCTTTTTGTTAAAAAGATTTTATTACACTGTCTTACTTTCATACCATTACCCCTGTTAGGATTTTCTTACTCTTTTTAGTTAATAGTAATTTGAATAAGTTAAAGCATCTGTAGATGGAGTGGGCTTGTGGGCTGCTATTTCTTCATTAAATGCTTTCTTTCACTTTAATGTTGATCTGACATTATTTTCAGTTCTTTACATAATATCATGGTTTCATTTGATAGATATCATTTCTTGATGCTGCAATACTTCACATTATCGATAGTCGTAGATTCTAAGTGTTAAGGTTACACACATGTAAGGTGATATAGGTACTAGATTGGTGGCAATACTTCCTTCGTTTTTAATTACCCGCAACGTTTCAATAGTGCTTACTATTCACATACTCAACTTGAATTTTGTGATTTATACTTGATGAAAAATATAGCTGTGTGAGATCTTGTTAGAATCATTTCAATGTCTGCTTTATTAAAATTTATTACTTCCTCCGTTTTTTGTTAGATTCTTTGCAAATTGCGGACTCCTAGGCAATTCTGGAGATGAGAGAGAGAGAATATATAAATGGTTCGATGTGATTAAGAGTGAGATAGAAAGAGTTTATTAACTAAAAAGGAAAGGGATGCAACTAATTTGAAACTTCCGTTTTAGGAAAGTAATGCAACTAAAAAGAATGGAGGAAGTGTAATATTTTCAAATGTATAATTAAAGATATAAATGGTTGAAGTTATGCATCTGCAAACGTGAAAATAAGAAACGTTGTTAGTAAAAATAAACAAAGGAAGTATATGTAAGAGTAATAAGTAGCTATTTGGTTACACATAGAAAGTTGCAATTACCATGAATTGGCAATTTCTTTGGAGCTATCCTTTCCGTGATGTGTGTATAATAGTTTGGGTGATCATAAGAAGGGCTTCTGCATTCTTGGGGGAAAGTCTACTTTCCTGAGGGAGCTAGGTAAGCAGCGTCTGCCATTATGTGTGAATTGTAACAGAAGTTCCTATGCCAATTCCAACCAAACAGTTCATCGAATTTCTTCGTGGAATTTATACTTCACATTTATTTGGAGGTCAATTGAACAACCAATTAATAAGGAATTGTAATGTCATAAACGGTTAACTATATTTTCCATAGTAAAATAAGATTTGGCTCTTCTGCGTATGTACGTAATAATCCATAATCAGTTTCTGCCTTTGTTCAATTTCACGATAGTGTGATATTGTATTGTTCTGTTTTTTGCTATGTGAATTTTAGTTTTTTGCCGCCAATTTTCAAAATGATTTAAGTTTTCATTGCGAACATTTTTGCTTGTTCCAATAATAAACTGCTAGAATGTTATTAAACTTTGGCTTAAGCTCTTGCATTGCATGTTATATGTTGCATTGTATGAATAGGCTCAATCCTCTTTGATCTTTCTCTTGTTTGCTTGTTGTATATCTTTCCAGTTCCCAGTGAAGAACAATGGTGTTGCGGAGAAATTATTGTCAGCATGTTGTGATGTAAGTATTCACATTCTGTATATATTTCTTGTTTTTTTAAAAATTGTGTGACAAACTTACAACTTATGCTCTATATGTTATCATTAAAATTCGAAATATAAGCAAATTGGATGATAACATTTTGAAGCTAGTGCTGGATTGCTGGTACCCCCCCCCCCTCTTCTGGCGTTAGGATCAATATCATTATTGAACATATTTAGTTGGGTTAACTTTGAACAGAGTGCATTTATTTATTGTACTCCCTCCGTCCCATTATTTCGTGCCTATTTCTCAAAAAACACAGTAATTAAGGAGAATGGTGGAAGTAGTGGAATATTATATTGGAAAGATGAAAAGTAGAGAATATTGTATGGGAATAATAAAAAGTAGAGAATATTGTATGAAAAAGAGAAAAAGAAAGTAATGATTTTTTGGGTATATGTGTATTTTGTATGGGAAAGATAAAAAGTAAGTAATAATTATATGCTATTTTTAGAAGTAGGCACAACGTTTTGGGACACCCAAAAAGGAATACAGGCACGAAATTATAGGACGGAGGGAGTACATTCTAATGTAGAAGTAAAATAGAATACTATAATTTTACAATTCACCTATAATTAATGAACCTTTATGGTCAGCTCGAAAACAAAAGGTGTTGGTGTTGTAGTTTGAAAGGGACCCCTTTTTTTGGTTATCGGTGACCGTTGTTTCGAGGTACATCCTTTTTTTGTTATCAATGGCTTTCTGAGTTAAGACTTAAGATGGTCAGTTGTGGGAGTCATGACTTCTGAAGGGAAGTGATTAAGTTCATAGTTACTGTTGCAGTGGTGAATTCATGTTGAAGGGAGGGGGGTCCTGTGCTGGCTGTGTTATTTATTCATATTGTCCAACTTTTCTATCCCCATATTCTACAATATTTACACTTTTTTTTTCTACTTACCCCCTTATCCTACAAAATTCACACCTTATTTTTCACCTTACATTCAACTTTTATAGAACCATCTACCTTTTATACATACACTTTCTTGCCTAATCCATCTTCTTACACCCACTAAACTCTCCTAGAAACAAGAGTCTGCAATAAGAAATCAGAGGGGTAAATGCTTTGGCTATGTTTCTCATGAATTTTGTAACGAGACATTTTTTTACTACTAATTTACATAAGAATTGTAAGTTAGAAACTTTTAAGAGGCTTATATAAACTTTTGCTGTAATGAATGCTTATAGGTCATTAAATTACTTTACTTTGTCTGTTATTACAAAATGAATGCAGATATTAATTAATGCTTAAAACTATTGAGCTTAAAATGATTTGTTCATTATTTGTTTAATTACATATCATGGTCCAATTTATGAAAAAATAGGCACCATAGGAAAAAGTCTCAAGTGAACAAATTTTCCTGTCTTCAATTCTAGTATATAGGAAAAAGTCTTAAGTCGACAAATTTTCATGACTACAATTCTTGTTGTAAGTTCATTTTTAATTAAAAATTGACCCTGCTGTATGCTATATCTGGACCTGCCATTTTACTGTTGCAATGCAATTGGAGTTTTGAACATTTTCTCTTAAACCCCTCTCACCACCCCCCCCCCCGCGCTCGATCGCTGTAAGCTTTGTTTATTTGGACTCTTCAGAATGGTGTGTGGAGAAATCTGTGTATTTACCATGTGTTTTTGTTTGTTTTGTGTGTGTTTTTATTTATTTTTTTTGTTTAAAAGTTTTATATATGCTGTTTTTTGTTTGTATTAACTTCATTGTGGTTCGATTTTTTCTTAGGAAGCCTGCAGTGTATCGATTAAAGATATCAAGAACAGTGATGGGGCTTTTTTCCTTGAGCTGAGAATACCAACCAGATCAAGAGTGCAAGATGGCTGGAACTTTCTTGAAAGATATGGTTACAGATATGGGGATGGTTGTGCTAGGACGCTGCTTCCTTCTGAGGTTTGATTCCCATAATTTTTTGCTGTCTTTGGAACTTACTCAAAAGATATGGGTTACAGATGCCACTGTGCTGTTTGATTTGTTATTTACTTACAATGACATCAAAAGTTTCCTGTGTTAAGTGTTGATGTCCTCGAAGCTTATGATCTTTGTCAGTTCATATGTATGTTGGTTCCAGTATTGCGATAATGTAATCATAATTGATGGTTGGTTGACTGAGTTTCAGTAATTTGTTAATACCCATCAATATTTTTTATTATGTTTTATGTTATTCTTTCTTATGTACCAACACTCTTTGTCTAATCAAGTAATAATCAAAATAGAGTTCAAAATTATCTTATGTGTATCTTGATTATCTAAGTGTGCCCCCCTTCCCCGAACCTATCCATTGCTTTGCATCCTGGAGTTTAGTAATATTTTCTCATCCATCTAGTCACACCTAATCAGGTTCTAGCGATGTTGAAAAAATTACCTGAAGATACAAGAAGAAAGCTTGCAAAGAAAGGATACATCCCGCAAGAGGGGTACATTTTGCGCTATGTACCTGTTCCTCCTAACTGCTTATCTGTTCCAGATGTATCAGATGGAGTCAGCGTTATGTCATCAGTGAGTTGTGCTATATTTGTATGACATTTGGATACTTAACAACCTGTTATAATTGTTGCCTTGTGATGTTTTAGGATCTTTGCTCAGCGATGATGAAGAAAGTTCTCAGGCAAATCGAGGTTATTAGGAGCTCTCGATCTGGTGAACCCAATTTCGAGTCGCATGAAGTTGAAGCCAACGATTTGCAAGTTGCTGTTTCACAGTATCTCCAAGTCAGAGGCACTGGAAAGGTATAACTTGTAATGCCCATAGTTTTACTTAAATTGCATGAGCTATTTATTATCGGGAGCATACAGATTTACTTATTAACAGGCATTAATATTTTTGGCAGGCTGCTCGTGATGGTGACAACCGGTACGGGGTAAGCAAAGAAGGCAACAACACTTCAAAAGCTTGGGTCGACAAAATGAAAACCTTGTTTATAAGCAAAGGGTCTGGTTTCTCTTCAAGGTCTGTCATCACCGGTGATGCTTACAGGGCTGTAAATGAAGTTGGTGTGCCCTGTGAGATTGCCCAAAAAATGACATTTGAAGAGAGAGTGAACGTGCATAATATACAGTACCTTCAAAATCTGGTAGATAACAACTTGTGCCTCACCTTTAGGGATGGGTTGTCAACGTATTCGTTGAGGGAGGGTTCTAAGGGGCATACGTTCCTTAGACTTGGCCAAGTTGTTCATAGGAGGATTATGGATGGGGATATAGTTTTCATTAATAGACCTCCTACTACTCATAAGCATTCTCTTCAAGCATTGCGTGTGTATATTCACGAAGATCATGTGGTTAAAATAAACCCTCTGATGTGTGGTCCTCTGGCTGCAGATTTTGATGGGGATTGTGTTCATTTATTTTATCCCCAGTCGCTTTCTGCTAGGGCTGAAGTTTTGGAACTGTTCTCTGTTGAGAAACAGTTGCTGAGTTCACATAATGGAAATTTGAACTTGCAGCTATCTACTGATTCTCTGTTGTCTTTAAAGACTATGTTTAAGGTTCATTTTCTTGACAGAGCATCGGCTAACCAATTGGCTATGTATGCCTCTAATCTTTTGCCATCTCCTGCTCTGTGGAAAGCATGTCCTTCAATTTCAAAAAAAGAGAAAGTGTATTCTTCTGGTCCTCTTTGGACTGCTCAGCAAGTTTTACAGACGGCTTTACCTACCCACTTTGAATGTCATGGCGATAGACTGTTGATACATGACAGTGAAGTATTAAAGTTAGACTTCAATCGGGATATTGTGGCATCAGTCATTAGTGACGTTCTCACGTCATTGTTCTTTAACAAAAGCCCGAAAGATGCTTTGAACTTTTTTGACTCTTTGCAACCCCTTTTGATGGAAAATTTGTTTTCTGAGGGTTTTAGTGTGGGGCTGCATGATTTTTTTTTCCCCAAATCCGAGTTGCAAAATATTCAAAGGAATTTACAAGATCTTTCACCCCTGTTAATGCAGCTAAGATCATCCTTCAATGAACTAGTGCAGCTGCAATTTGAAAATCATATTCGGGAGCTCAAATCCCCAGTTGGAAATTTTATTCTTATATCTTCAGCACTTGGAAATCTGATTGATTCTAGGAGTGACTCTGCAATTGATAAAATTGTTCAGCAAATCGGGTTTTTGGGACTGCAGCTTTCTGATAGAAGGAAGTTTTATTCTAGTGGACTGGTGGAGGAAGTGGCGAGTCTCTTTCAACAAAAGTACCCATATGCAACTTCGCATCCTTCAGAGGAGTTTGGGTTTGTAACGAGTTGTTTCTTCCATGGCCTGGATCCTTATGAAGAGATAGTTCACTCTATTGCTACCAGGGAGGTAATTGTCCGTTCATCAAAAGGACTGGCTGAGCCTGGAACACTGTTTAAGAATTTGATGGCAGTTCTTAGAGATGTTGTCATTTGCTATGATGGCACCGTTAGAAATATCAGCAGTAATTCTGTCATTCAATTTGAATATGGGATTGGAGGGATGGCATCCCAGAATTTGTTTCCTGCTGGAGAGCCTGTTGGAGTTTTGGCAGCAACTGCCATGTCAAATCCTGCTTACAAGGCTGTTCTGGACTCTTCTCCAAATAGTAATTCTTCTTGGGATATGATGAAGGTATTCTTTCATTGTCTGTTTAGTTATTACTAACAAGAAAATATTGACTTTAGATTGTTAATCTAGCTTATGGTGTATATTTACTTGATGAATTTCTATTTTAATTCTTATTCCTTGTTTGTTAGCTGCTGATTCATCTTACTTGTACCAGGAAATATTGTTCTGCCGTGCGAATTTCAGGAATGATAATAATGATCGACGGGTTATATTATATCTGAATGATTGTTGTTGTGGTAGGAAGTATTGTCAAGAAAATGCATCATGCCTGGTAAAAAATCATTTGAAAAAGGTTAGCCTCAGAGATGCTGCAATTGAGCTATCAATTGAGTAAGTTTCTTTTACCACCTTTTTTTGGGTATAAGAATTCTATATGGTGGTGTTGTTATGCCTTGTTAAGAAATTTATGATGCCATATCTCTTCAGTACTCTTTCCCTTGGTCCATAAGTAATTTTCTTAACTAATTATGTTTGATTCAAATTTTCAATCATTCATGTACAGATGTACTTGCAAAATTAATATGTCGATTTATTGTATGATCCAAGTCTTTCTAGTATATTAAAATGAGTGATGCTATGTTGTTGAATGTTTGTTCTTTACAGTCGCAATAGATGCTTTACATTCCATATATATTTTATCTGTTTTTATGCTGCTTGAATGCTTATGGGATCACTCCATACAGGTACAAGCGGCCAAAGCTTGAACCTGAAAGTTGTGAAATGGACACAGGACTTGTTGGTCATATTCATCTCAATGCGGTTTGTAGACTTTTTACCCTCTTATTCCTTATTGACTTTGTAAACATTAGTTTTCCTTCTGGAAAGGTTTCAATCATGTGACAAGTTTTATGTTGTGTAGGGCTTGCTAAAGTCATCAGGCATTGGTATGCGTGACATTTTACAAAAATGTGAAGAACAAGTAAACATGTTACGTAAGAAGAAGAAATATGGTTATCATTTTAAGAGGATACTTTTGTCTGTAAGGTAGGTTCATGCCATGTTTCTTCTTCTTGTTTTTTTTTGCAGTGTAGTATCTGATTGTTCTGACGGTGATAATTTGATGATTGTTATTCATAATAAATTTCGTGGATAATATAGTGCATAATAATTTTGAGTCATAATAACTGTGTCAATTATGATCCCCTGCTTATGCTATGTGATGATTGCGAATGCTTCTGATAGGTCTGATTTCTAAATGTCTCTTTATTCTCTGATGGCAGTGAATGTTGCTTCTTCAACCATTCTGATAGCAAATGGACTGACATGCCATGTTTGAAATTCTATTGGCAAGACATGCCTGACTCTGATTTGGAAAGAACAAAACATATCATGGCTGATATGATCTGTCCAGTTCTATTGGACACAATTATTAAAGGTACTTTTTTTACTTAATTTGGGGAAATTTTCAGAATTTGCTTAATAAATTCTATTTGTACTGAGTTGCTTTCTTGTGGTATGAATGTTTTGTCCCCATGTTTAACTTCTGTACTGCAGTGAATGTCATTTCTGTTTCCAATTATGGTAGCTTAAGTATGCTGTAATAGCAATGCTTTTGTCGCTCAATTGTGGGGAGTTTAATCTGTATCTTAGAAACTGTGTTTTTTTAGCGGTAAGTTGTGCTGTATAAGATTTGTGTATTTGTGTAGGTGATGGTAGTAAGTTTATTGGTCAAGAACAGGACTGTAAGCTTCTAGAAGAATGATATTTTGGTAATAAGGAGATATATTCTTGCTTTAACACTTAACTGGTTTCATGCATCTTCTGATTTTCAGCTGCAATATTATGGAATATTTTCCACTTTTACTAGTTATGTTTTCCTCGGTTATGTAAAGCTGGTATCACTTTGTAAAAACGAAATATGGATTGATTACTTTGTCTGCAATAGGTACTCACTTGTCCAACACTTGTGTGTGGATTACCCATGCAGTTTTGAGTTTTGACCTTTATTTTATGATGGTTATAGTGGAAATTACTAGCTTTACAAGTTAGACTGATTTAGGGAGTGAAATCATTTAGAAGAGTGAAAAATTTGTTTTTACTGTAAAAGGTGCTGGCACCGAATTTGTGATAAAAGGATATAGGTTTTAAGCATAGGATAACAGTCATAATTTTACTGGGTGTAAGTGTGCAGATGAGGTTGTAATGTAACATAACACTGATTGTGTTTGTGTAAATGATACCTGGTTTAATTGGTTCCTTAGTTTTGGGTGAAATGAAGGAGTTGAAAGATGTGGAATCTTTAGTTTTCTTTTCTTTTCTTTGCATGGTTTTTAACCTTGGTTCGGGATGAGTTGAAAGAGAGGGTTTTGATGGTATGGAGCTCCTTTTTGCATTATTATGGAAGACTTGCCCTATTCTGATGTACTTTCTTATCAATAATTGTAATGAAATTTTCCCTTCTAAGAGAATCAGAACATTGTTACATGGAAATCTGAATTAGATACTGCCTCTGCACTGAGTGGGGGCTGCTATACGTGTTCTTTCTCTCAAATTTTCTCCAGGAGATGGGATAAATTTAGTAAATCTTGAAATTTGTTTTGTTTTGTTTTGTTTTGCAGGTGATCCTCGAATTTCCACTGTCAATATTACCTGGATTAGTCCAGGCACTACAACTTGGGTACAGAGTCCCTGTAGCAGTACAAAGGGTGAGTTAGCTGTGGAGGTGGCTCTGGAGAAGACAGCTGTCAGGCAAAGTGGTGATGCGTGGAGGATTGTACTGGATTGTTGTCTACCTGTATTTCATCTGATTGATACAAGGCGCTCTATTCCATACGCAATAAAGCAAATCCAGGATCTATTTGGAATATCCTGTGCCTTTGATCAGGCAGTGCAGGTAATTTCAACTGATTATCCATGACTACTTGCTTGTATTGCTTTATTTCCATCTTCTAAACATTTTTTGTATATTGGTATGATATAGACTGCATCTTGCTCCAGTTGATTTTAAAAAAGTTTCTTTTGGAATATAGATACCCATTTGATTTGATTAAAAATCGTGTCTTGATACATTGAAGCTTAGTGTGTCGGTTACTACCAACATCTTTGAGTTTCGTATAAGGGCCCTGTGACTTGACATGCTTCTTTGTAGCAAAAGGGAAAATGAGCTGCCCCGTATTACTATGTCTCCAGCTTCAAAGATCCCTTGAGATTAGAATTCAGCTTTTTATATCATGATTTTTGGCTATGAGATTGTTTTGTGCCCTGGTTGTTTTGGTTTGGGCTGGATTTGCATTTAGATATGCGCCTTTTGCTCTTTGGTTTATCATCTTGTTGGAAGCAGGTACTGTTTGTTAATTTTATCCCGTTGGTCAACAAATTTTCAGCTTGTTTTGTATTACCTAGCAATGTTGTGTTCATCGTCATGCTTAGTAACTTTGACTCTGTATGCGTGTGGATTCAACCTGTGTATTAGTTATCATTAGCTATAAAATTTTATTTATATATATCCTTGTTGACAATGTTCTGAGTTGATGTAGTTATTATTAATTTTCTTTCTTAGGATAAACTTACCAAATTTGATCTAATTTTGTGGAAATAGTCCATATAATTCTTCTTTTCTTTGCCAATATTATGTTTGGGGTGAACCTCTTTTGTATGGGTTCACACCGATGTGAACTCTATCTATCTATGCATCGGCACAACTTTAGGTAATTAGATGTTGCTGCATGGTTTTACTCTTAATTGTCAAAATGATCTGAGACTGGTGTTCAATTTTCTGAGGCGGCGACTCTACTCATTATCTAAAAGCTTCTGATTTTGCACAAATTTACTTGAAGATATATATCTGATTGTGGAGATACCTAAGTCTCTCTCTCTTCATTAACCTTAGGTTTTCTATTTTCGTGCATAACATTTGCTAATATTTACGAGTAGTAGGCAATCACTTTTGTATTTGCAATTATATTCTTATAAATCTAAATTGCTTGCACTGCCTGATCTGTGAATTCAATGTTTGTGTCTGTCTATGTGTTTCTATGTCATTAGGGACCTTCAAAATATTGATGTTAGAGGGCTTGGTTCCTCTGCCGTGGACACTAGACATATTTCATGTAACAGTACAGCAAATGTTGTGATGTGTGACAAACTTATGATAGTTTGATAGATATAGGCTGTCATCCAAAAGTAGAGTAAGCAATAGTGCTTTAACTAGATTAGACTCGTGCGTTGCACGATTTAAATGATTTTATTATTATGCATAAAAATACAGTTTTTATCATTTGTGTAAAAAAGAGTGGCAATTAATTTTTGTTTGAAAAATATATATTGTAGATCAAAAAAATATATGATGACATCACACATAAAAATGGAGGGAAATTTTTTAATGTGAAAATGACACGTAGGATAGTTTAAGAGTTGATGATGTCAGCAATGTTTTGTTTTAGTAATAGTTAATAGATGTTACTTCCTTTGTTGATTCGTCTCACTTTATATTGTCATAACATCATATTATTATAAATTTTTATAAATTTAAGTAATTTAAGATATTAGCTATTGAATCAATGCATTTTCAAGCGGTGCATTGGTAAGTGATGCAATTTAGAAAAGAACCAAGGAAGCATTACTGTTTTCTTTAAAAAAATCAAAAGTTGTTTGACCAACTCGCTAAATTGTTGTTTTCTGGTAATTGCAGCGCCTTTCAACATCTGTAACTATGGTCACAAAAGGTGTTCTCAAAGAGCATCTGCTTCTGTTGGCCAGTAGTATGACGTGTGCAGGGAATTTGGTTGGCTTCAATACGAGTGGAATAAAGACTTTATGCCGAACACTGAATGTTCAAATTCCTTTCACTGAGGCAACTCTATATGTAAGAAGTTTCACTTTATTTAATTTTATTTTTAGTTCTTGATACTCCTCAAGTTCATCATATAAGGCGATTGCTGTTTATGGCTGAGGCAGAAAAGGATCCTTTGAATCAGGATATTTAAAAGTTAACGAGTATTTGATAATTTTTTTTAAACATTGCATCAAATGCTGATCCGAGGAAGTGAGAATTATCTAGAAAATTTGTGTTCAATGCTGAATTTTTTTCCCTTGAATGAAGTTAATTTATGACACATAAAACTACACTATGTGGCCTATATAATGAATGAGAGTAACTAGTATTTATTATCAGTGATCTTTTAATGATATTTAATATATTGTGTCGTGTATGTTTTTTTCCTGCTTGGCCAGACACCGCGCAAGTGTTTTGAAAGAGCTTCTGAGAAGTGTCATGTGGATACTCTGGCAAGCATTGTAGGATCATGCTCGTGGGGTAAGCGTGTTGCTATTGGTACTGGTGCCAAGTTCGATCTCCTCTGGGACACAAAAGAGGTATTGTGTCCTGTTTATAATTCACGTGTGTTTGAAAATCTATATTCACCATTTGTTGGTTCATTCAATTGCTTTGCTGATCACTATTCAAATCCTACAGATTGAATTGGCTGACAAACCAACTGATGTTTACAACTTCCTTCATCTGATGAGTAGTGCAAATGAGAAAGAGGTTGATAGTGGGGGCTTGGGTGAAGATATTGACAACTTTGACAAGGATGTATACATGGAACCAGCTCTATCCCCCGAACAGGAAAACAAGGCTGTCTTTGAAGACGCGATTGAAATGGGTTTAGATTCTGAAATTCCTGGAGCAGGTGAATCAAGTTGGGATGCAATACCTTCATCTGGTATAGGATGGAATGCAAACAAATCTGATACTGGTTCTGGCTCAGCAGAAGGCAGTGGTTGGTCTTCCTGGGGATCAAAGAAAAGTCAGTCACAGCTAGAAGATGCATCCAAGTCTGATGGTTGGTCTTCGTGGGGGTCGAAGAAAAATCAGCCACAGCCAGAAGATTTGTCGAAGACTGGTGAATTGGATGCATCAAAAACTTGGGGTGGATCTAATCATGGGGAGCCTTCACCTACTTGGGGCCAACCAGTCATAGAGCCTAATGACACTAGCATCAAGAATGATCTTAAGGAAGTTTGTGGCTCTGGCTCAGCAGATGGTGATGGTTGGGCAAATTGGGGTTCAAAGAAAGATCTGTCCAAGCAAGAAGATTCACCAAGAACTGGTGGTTGGGAATCTTCAAAGTCTTGGGCTGGGTCTAAACCAAAACAACCTTCATCTGCATGGGGTGCAGTCAAAGAGGCTGATGAAAATGCAGGCTGGAAGGAAAGTGATTCCAAAAAAGATCTTGCTTCCGGCTCCGGAGAAGGTGGTGGTTGGTCAGCTTGGGGACCAAAGAAGGATCTTCCGCAGCCTGAAAGTTCATCTAAGGCAAATGGTTGGGATGCATCAAAATCTTGGAGTAATTCTAATTCAAAAGAACCCTGTAAAGCCTGGGGTAAAACAGCAAAAGAAACTGATAGTGTTGGCTGGAAGAAAAATTATCCTCAGGGAGATTCTGGAAACCTGGGAGGAACAAGTGGTTGGAATGATAAACTGCTCAAGGAAAACAAATCAAATTCAGAACAGTATCAGCCTACAAGTTCTAAAGGCTGGGATTCTACTGGAGGAAAGGATACTGGGTTCGAAAGAAGTAATGACTGGGCTGGTAAGGGTGAGAAGAAAGGGGATTCAAATGGCTTGGATTCTCGAGTAGGGAAAGACAATGAACAGCCTTGGGATATTTCTAGTAATGTTGGTGTCAAGAAGTCTACATGGGGACAAACTGTTGGCAATTCTTGGAAGAAGAGTGATCAAGGAAGTTCGGGCGGATGGACTAATGATAATGCAAACGAACAAGATTGTGCGAGACAAGGAAAACCCTGGGGTAAAAGTCATAAAGGGTCTGGTAGCTGGAGCTCTGGTCAGGGTAACCAACACCCTGTTTCCCAAGGGGTATCTGTAGAGAACAAGGCAATGACTTGGGGACAGCCTAAAGATTCATCCTGGCAAAAGAACAATGACGAAAATGATGGTGGATGGGGTTCTTCCAAGTTCAATCAACAGGGAGCCGGTAGAAGCTGGGATTCCAAAAAGAAAGGGAGCAATGTTCAGTCTTGGGGACAGCAAGTTGACCCAACCAATAATGATAGCAAAGAGGTAAAGGATTTTCCTCACTTGTTCAACAGACCACTTGAAATTTGAATTGCTTTTATATCTTGCAGAGTTAAACCTAAATTATTTATTTTTTCCCATTGATTTTATTTTGTATACTGCATGATGTCTCTGTGATCAAAGCTTTTTTTTCTAACATAATTTTTGGTGTAAATCCTATATGGCTGATATATCATGTACTCATTTGACAGTACTCCTACCTTTTTTTGTGGTACAGTTTGACCTTTTGTACTATTCACATATCAGCTTTAACTCAATTTTTTTACTTATATATAATTGTTTAATGTTGTTGTACAATATATTGTTGGACTAGTCTTAATTTATATTTTCATAATATCAACTCTATAATTTTTACTTAATACACTATTAAAGATATTAATAGTCAAACTTATGCCTTAGTGTGCGTGAAAAGTGCTATTGTGTCACTTAATAATAATGGGGCGAGTATGATTTAGGAGATTTAACGCAGATAAATTTGTGTTGTTTTAATATGTCTTATTATGAAGAAAGAAATCTGATAAAGTTGATCAACAGGATCAGAACATTGGTATTAGTGCTGATGGGTGGAGTTCTGGCAAGGTTAATACAAGTCCTGGTGGCTGGGGCACTGGTAAAGCCAATGGAGCTGGTGTTTCCAGCTCTTGGGGGTCTCAAAAGGAAGGCAGGCCGCAGGCATCTGCTTGGGGACAGTCGGACAATAGCAATGAAGCTGCAGGTAGCTGGAAGTCAGAGAAGAAAAGTGGAGCTGGTGGGTCTGGAAGTTGGGAATTTCAGAAGAAAGAGAACAATGCAAAATCCTCTTGGGGACAACCAAAGAGTAATGCTGAAAGTGTTGGTGACGAAAAATTGGACAAGGCCTCTGCAGAAGACGGTCTGAGTAACTGGGATGCTAAAAAAGGAGAGGGAAAGTCCCAATCTTCATGGGGACAGCCAAGTGCTGATCAAGGGGGTTCTGATAAGTCAAAACAGTCTGGGAATTCATCTGGTTGGGGTTCTGAAGAGACCAATTTTGGAAAGGACAGTGAGAAACAGGACTCTTGGGGGAAACCAAATTCTTCAACTTGGAAGAAGGAATCATGTGAAAAGTCTCATGATTCTGATGATTCACAATCACCTTGGGGACAACCCGGAGGGTCTGGATGGAATAAAAAACGGCCTGAAGGTGGTCGTGGCTGGGGCTCCTCAAACACTGGTGAGTGGAAAAGCAGGAAGAATCAAAATCATAACCCTAACCAGAATCGACCCCCAAGGGACCAAATGATGATTCTGCCAGTGTGGCACTAACTGCTACTAGAAAAAGAATGGACTCATTTCCAGCTGAAGAGCAAGATGTCCTATCTGAAGTTGAATTGGTTATGCAGTCGATTCGAAGAATCATGCATCAGTCTGGGTAAATTTACAACTTTTCTCTACTGTATTTAATTGATTGATGCATTTCGTAGTTTAATTTGCGAGGATGATAATTGTCCTCCGTTTCTTATTAGTTGACAAGTTTTGACATAGGCTCTATATATTACCTTGTTCCTTCAGTGATTTATTGAAAAAAGTGATGCGGTCTTGTTAGATTCATCTCACCTAGGAGTATTGATAATTTGATATTTATTTTCTTTTGCTTTTTGTGACTTCATTTTATGAATATCGTTTTTTTTTTTTGTTTTTTTTTGTTTTTTTTTTTTTTTTTTTTTTTACTTTGTCTGGCGATAAGTGAATATATTGATAATTGAAATCCTGTGTTGGCAAATGTGTCAACTAAAATGAAACAAAGTATAAATCTGCATTTCTGTGTGAAAGAATGGTAGAGGGTGTTCACATATTCAAACCAGAGGTGTACTGGAAGGTGCAAACTCTGATGGTGACAACTGGACTATTGATGATAAATTCTGGTTTTATCAGTTGAAAATACCTAGGAGTAGGTGTGCTGGTTTGTCTCTTCTGGCTGTTTGTATGATTTATGCAGGTAGTTGGATTTTACGTAATTGGGGGTGGGGGGGGGATCTGATTGCATTTCTGTATTTGTTCAGCTTTCCTTTTTCACTGACTACCATGGTGTTACAATTATTAATTTGTAGGTGTAATGATGGAGAACCACTTCCTCCTGATGATCAAAAATATGTTATTGACAATGTGCTGAACTACCATCCTGATAAAGCGGCTAAAATTGGGGCTGGAGTTGATTTTATTACGGTATGTATACGTAGCTTTTGCTATTGAAATCCTTTTTTTATTTTTGTATGAAGTCTAAATAATTTCTAAAATCTTTTCATGTTGCTATATGCAGGTTAAAAAGCATAGCAACTTCCAAGAAAGCCGTTGCTTTTATGTCGTGTCAACGGATGGGCAGAATGTGGACTTCTCATACATCAAGTGCTTGGAGACTTATGTTAAGGGAAAGTACCCTTCAGTTGCCGAGTCCTTCACGTCCAAGTATTTCAGAAGGCCTCGTTCTGGAGGTAATCCCTCACCTGCTAGCCCCTCGCCTGCTAGCCCTTTGCCTGCAAGCCCCCCACCTTCAAGTCCTTTACCACCAAGCTCCTGAGTCCTTTAAGTGTTGGTTGTTTTGATGGGTAATATTCTTGCTTTATTTTGTGTACATAACTAAATATTAGTAGCTGTTTTTCAGCCAAGATTTTAGCTTTGAATGCTCTCCTTACATTACTGGTCCCCTTGGAAGCGCAGTCATGGGGCTGTTTCTGAAAACTTTATGCCTGGTGAATTTTGTACAGAATTAGAAGTTATTTCGGCTAGGAGTTAATTGTACATGACTGTAAAGTTTTGGCATCTAGGAATGAGTTTTCACTTCTCTGTTGCCTCCTTTCTTTCTAGAGATAGCTTTCTGTATCAGCTGCCAGATTTTGTTGCCTTTCAGTCTTGTTGAAATGGAACACTCTCTGCTGATGCCATAATGCAACTACTACTGATTGATAGGTCAATAGCTAAGTTAATATTCTCGTGTTTGTCCACAATCCTTGATGAGTATGCAAGTTATTGTGTCAGGACTGCTTTGTTAGGCTGCAGAATGTTAAACCTCCATGCTCGTAGTGTGCAATTGTTTTGAAATTTATCAGACTGCTACAATCATGCAATAACCTTAGATCTTGAAGAGCACTATTCTCATCTTTGTACAGCGTTTGTAGCCTTGACTTGATTATAAAATGTCTTAAGAAGTTAAACCTTTGCCAATATTGAAACAAGTACCAAGAAGTTTAAATATTTGTTGGTATGAAAATGTTGGTATGCCAGCAATTTCCTTATAAACAGGCACAGAGTTTTAGTCGAAAAAGCATTTGAAATCAAGAAAGACTCCATCACATCAAAACTAACTAGTTACTGTAAACCCTACATGTAAAGAATCTTTGATGGAGCGGATTTAGAATCAATAATCCATTCCAAGTGTTTGACGTAAAATGTAGACATTATACGATACTACTGTGAATTGGGAGAGGTTCTTCTCTATAACTTAGCCTTGATGGAAAATGGATTTGAAAATGAAAGATTTTTGTGAATTGGGAGAGGTTCTTCTCTATAACTTACGACTTACCTACGGACAATCTGAGAATGAAAGATTTTTGTGATAAAACTTGTGGTGAATTTATCCCGTCCATATCTTTAATAAAATTCTACTGCAAGACTTACTACCACCTTTTTTTTTTTTTTTTTTTTACACTGGACTTACAGCCATTTCATGTGTTAATATACATCTCACTTAAATGAGGATGACTTATAATTCACACTTAGAGGTGTGTAAGAAAACACACCACACCTAAATCCTACCATAATTGGACCAGATTAACTCTGGATCGGTAGATTCAAGTCCAGTCCTGATCCTTGAAAATAGAAATTTTGGATTTTCAGGAATATTATCGGTCTGTATTGAAAACCTGATTTACATATTATTTTCAATTAAATGTTTTAAGCTTTTAGCCTTCCTAAAACGGAAAACCTAGCAGGTTATCCTAAATTAGCTGCCTTCTCACCCATCTCTCTGTCACTTAGTCGCCGACTAATCTAACCACCGTCAACTTCTTTGCCCAAAGCTTCTCCAACCGGTGACCATCGTTGTTCCTTCTTGCATCACTTTCCATTTCATCTCGCACTCCCTTTAACTCTCAATCTCTCGCATCGGGTCACCAATAAGGCGCCGATCGACAACCAAGTTTGATTTAATTTTCTCAAATTTTTCTTTCATAATTAGCTATGTTGAATTAAATTTAAATCAAATTCTATTAAATGGATTGAATACTTGAACTAATTTATATGTTAATATGAAATTAATATTTGATTTTTGTAAGTGTATTTTAATTTATATAATTATTAGTTTATACGATATGTTAAATTAGGTCCAACAATTTTTTAAAAATCGCAAGTTTTTTTAGTTTATATGATTATTAGTTTATATTTTAATCAAAGACTACTTGAGTATTTGGAGTAATTAACATACAATGTGTAATTGTATAGCTTATCTTTCAAGGTTTTTTTAATTATTTTTTTTTGAGAAAAAATTATTTTCAAGTTTGCCATTGATGTCGAAATTGGAGAATAATTGGCGGTTGATTTTTTTTTTTTTATAAAAATTACAAAAAAATTATTACAAAAAAAAATAAGGGTTAAACGCGGACAAAACCTAAATCAGGTTTGGACTGGAATTGGACCATATGATTAAGGGTCAATTCTCTGGTCTGCAGAATACAGTGATTCTGGCTCTGGTTCAGGTTTGGTCCTATTTTGGACCGATGAACAACTCTATTTACACTATATTATTTTTATATATAGGTCAATCACTTTATTATTATATTTTGTTTTAAAATATTTTTTTTTAATACTGAAAATCAACAAACTCTAAACGGTAACAAATTAGTACTTCATCATTAGTTTTCATTACATTTACAAAATATAATTAGACCTGCATCAAAAATAAAGATGTAACTAAATTGGTTATAATTTCATTTCTCATCTAATCATAATCATAATAACACATCAAAAGTTTAAGCAATTAGAAATTATGTCAAATTAACAATTTTAATCTGTAATTTAAAATTTTAATAGATTAATCACGTGAACAAAGATGTAGTTTCATATCATAATGACTGAAGATATTGTCCTTTATAAGGTATTCCTCCTGTGATTCTAATTAGATGTATTAGTTCAGGTTGGTAAATATCTAACTTTAACCATTCTTAATAAGGAAAAATGGAAAAGAATAATTCCACCTTTTGACACTTATCTTCTTTAAATAGGCTATTTAAACTAACTACAACCTATCAAATCGGTTTTTTTTTTTTATAAATTCTAAGTTCTCTCTCGTCCCACCTCTCCACCCCCTCCCATGGCAACCACAATTACCACCACCTTGAAAACCCTTGCCACCTAAATTGCAACCCCACCTCTACCCATTGCCGCCTAACTTACCCCCTACCCCTCCCGAAATCCCACCCTTCTCGCCTGGACAGCCTAACTGTTTAATTTTCTGGATGGGGCGTCGACGATGAGAAAGGCGGGCGGGAAGAGGTTTGGTGGGGTTGGGGCTACCGGGATGGGGTTAGAGGGATTGGTTATTTTTTTAATTTTTTTTTTTATTTTTTATTTTTACTTAATTATTTTTTAATAAAAAATAAAATAGGTCAATCAAAAGATGACACGTGACAAATAACCTAAGATAACAAGTTACCAATCGGTCAAGGCCTGTTAAAAGAAGATTCATGTCAAAGGTGGGATTATTGTTGGAATAATTGAAGGTGAGATTGTTTTAAGAAGACCACACAAAGGGGGGATTATTCTTTTCCATTTTTTCTCAATAATAACTTTTGATTAAACTTGAATATTTTTTTGAGACTAATTAATAACGATTTATTTATATTATCGAGTGGTAAAAGTTTGTAAGCCGAACTTAGAATGTGAATATTACAGAAGTTGGTACGACTGTCGCGTGTAAACCTGGGCACGGGCCGGGTTGGCCCGCGTGCCGCCCGGCACGGCCCGCCGTTCGGCGCAGCCCGAATTCAAGCACGGCACGGCACGGCACGAAGTTCAACTCCCGTGCCACGGGCCGTGCCACGGACAGGGTTGAGAATTCCCAGGCACGGCCCGGCACGAGCACGACCATGGCCCGTCGTGCCGGCCCGCAGGCACGGCCCGGAACGGCCCGCGGGCCAACGGTAATGTTACCGTTTATTCTAGCTCCTTAATAAGCCAAAAAACGGCTAAAAAACGGCTAGTTTTTTGCCAATTTGCTCCCCAAAAATTCTATAAATACTCACCTCCATTTCATTCCCAAATCACAAAATCACAATCTCTTCTTCTTATCTCTTATATTCTCTAAATCTCTAATAATCCTTATTTTCTTAAATTCTCTAATTATTCTCTTAAATTCTCTAATTATTTTTCCTAATATCGGAAAAAATTAAAAAGTTCGTAGTCGTAATTAGTGGAGCGTTGAAGCACGGTTGTAAGATCTAAACTAATCTTAAATTTATTATTGTTTTATTGTTATTATTAGAATAATCTTGTTTGATTATTATTGTTGTTAATTGTTATTGTTGTTGTTATAATTGTTGTTATTAATTATTATTATTGTTACAATTGTTGTTATTATTTATTTTTGTTGTTATTGTTATTGTTATAGTTGTTGTTATTAATTATTATTATTGATATTTTTATTGTTAAAATTGTTGTTATTAATTATTATTATTATAGTTAACCACTTTTTATTAAAAAATTAATTGTTAATTATGGCATCGAACAACCCATCATCTAGGTCTAGGGGGAAAGGCCGACTTATCCGTAGTAGTAGTTCTAGGGAACCACCAAATACAACGAGCCCCCAAATTACGAGTCAAACCAATGACCCCATTTACTTCCCCCCGGGCTATGAGCCATATAATACGTCGGGATTTCCAGCACCACCACTAAACCAATTTCCACTACCACCATACCAATTTCCACCTAATTATATCGGTGATCAACAAAACTATTGTTCTAGCCAAGGTAGCCAAGAAAGTACCCGAATTCCCTCCGGTTCTACCCCTTCTACTGCCACTCCCACTAGTCCCACTACTAACCATCACACACATCATGAATGGTTAACCGAAACTGAGATGCTACTTTTGAAAAACCGAAGGAGTGAGGTATGGCGTTATTTTGTCCTAAGTAAAGATGGTGAACAATGGGCAAAATGTAAAACATGTAATAGTGTATTCACGGTAGTTACCAAAAACGGGACGGGACACTTATCTAGACACATGAAAGCTTGTGCAAAACCAGCTAGTGATCCAACCCAACCCAAAATTTCCCAATTCCATCCATACGGCTTTACATACAACTATGAGAGGGATAGGGATGAACTAGGAAAAATGATAGTACACGCCGAACAACCTTTTCTTTTCTCGGAAAGTGACGCATTCAACACCTACATTAACAAAGCACTACAACCCCAACATAAAAGAATCTCTAGGAAAACCGTTCGTTCCGCCGCAATGAAAAATTTCCTAGAGTACAAAGTCCGGTTACAAGCCGAATTGAGTAACCTTAACTGTAGAGTATCTTTAACAGCCGATTCTTGGGATAGTGGTTATAAATATCACTATTTATGTGTGACTTGCCATTGGGTAGATGATCGATGGATGTTACAAAAAAGAATAATACATTTCAAAATGTTGGAATACCCACACACCGGCATTAACATTGCGCACCATTTAATGCAAGCAATAGACGAATACAACCTTCGAGATAAAATGATGTCTATGACTTTTGATAATGCAACCTCTATGACATACACAGCTAATCTTATCAAACAAAACTTAACCGATGTACTATTAGACGGTGAAGCTCTTCATACTAGATGTGTTTGCCATGTACTTAACTTATGTGTACAGGATGGAGTTCGGGCAATTGGCCCATACTACAGCAAAATCA